GAGGTGCTCACCCCTCCCGCTGAACCCTCCCAGGGGATCACCTCACCCCTGACAGCACCGTGCCCCGCGCGGCTACAGCCCGTCCCACTTGCCCTATGAACTGAAACCCCTTTTTACAGCATTTAATAACCACCTCTCCAAGTGTGCAACAGGCAGCATCATAAAAGCAAAGCTCCTTGCAGCAGCGACACAGAATTTGTCATCTGGTGCTGATGAAAAGACCCACGACTGCTCCAGGAAGGAGAGGAGGAGTCGCCAGTGTCACTGCACACTGACTGTGACACTTCTGAGCCAGCGTCGGGCTCCTGGAACACTCCAGACTCACACACAGTCGGGGTGGGGACGTGTCTGGCTGGTGACAGAAATGGGTGATACCCAAAATGGGCACATGGACGTTCTGACCGAGCCCCTGGTCTGCAGGGGACACAGAACTGCACTGGAACAACGAGGCGCGCCGTAACTGGGACCGGTGAAAGGTGGAGAGAGATAAAGTAGGCAGAGATGCCTACAGCCAAGGAGATGTGTCTAGGCTGGACACCACCTCTGGAGATGGCACCTCCCAGAGCGTCCCAGAACGTCTTTCACAGCAGCTGTGCAGGCTCAGAGGAGGGTGCAGAGAACACCCTTCCCAAGGAGGGACGTTTGCCATCCCAAGGCACGGAACTTCAGGGAACTCTTCTGATGCCAATCGAGGTGCTGTGAGGTCTCCTGCCCCGATTATTCCAGGTGTAAAGCCCAGCAGAGGTGCCTGCTCCAGTGCTGCCAGCAGGAACAGCACACACCTGGAGCTGGGCACAGCGAGGAGTCGCCTGCTCTGTCCACGCCAGAAATCCCTGCTAGAGCAGAGCTCCAACCAGGCACCCCCAAACCCCAACACAGCTCAGGAGGGGACGGGTGCTCGCGTTCAACACGTCCTGGGAGTTTTTGGAGGCTGGGTTTGGTACGAGGTGCAGTGAGATGACACAGGGCTGAGGTGGGGCTGACTGGAAGGAGGCAGGAGTAGATCATCACAGCATTCAGCTTCCACTGGGAAGCAGCTGGGCACAGAAAGGTACCAAAACATCTGTCAGGCCAGGTGAGAAGTATTTCAGCCAAGGAGATCTGTGCTGGTTAACACTGTTTGTGTGAACAAGTCAGCTGGGGTTATAACCGTGCTGCAAGACCCTTCCCCACAAATCTTTCTCCCTCTGAGCAGAAGATGGAGTCTGCAGGTGGGAACCTTCCAGCTCCTGCCTCTGCTCACGGGCTGCCCCAGAGCGTGCCCAGGACGATGCAGGATCCTCCTCAGTGGCACTGCTGCTGCCAACCCACATCAGGGTCACTCCAGCTCCTCGGGAAAAGCTCCCAGCGCCTCCTGTCCCCCACCTACCCACACGGACACTCCCCCCTCAGGGTTTTGCTGGGCAAAACGTTCACTGCTGCCTCCTACTGAGCCAGACTCTACAACTCGCAGGCAATATGGTGAGAGCAGCAGAGGCTTGGAATTATTCTTCTAGGGCCATTCTCAACTACAGCACCCTCAGAGAGATTCGTTTCCCTGCACGCTTTCCATATGATTTGTAAACCCTGGAGTTCATGGGAAGGGCTCATCCAAAGCAGCACTCAGAGGGAAGTACAGTCTGGAGGAGAGTCCATCTTGCTCCTCTGGCAACCGTTCTGTAGCTCATGTCAGATACTGCACGACAAGAAACATGACCAGGCAGGTCAGAACCATCCCCCCGACCATGAAGTATTTGTCCTGGAAGGCTCGCTTCTCGATCAGCCGCATCACCGTGTTGGACAAGCCCAGCATGTTGGCAACATCCAGGATCTTCTTGTGAGTGCCCTAGGATCAAACAGACAGCAAAGAAACAATCAGACTCGTGGTCCAACACTTCCTCTTCCACAGCTCAAGAACATTTCATCACGGGTGGAAACGATGAGTTCTGATCAATGCAACTTCCTATCAGCCAACGGTTCCTACAGCTTAAGAGGAGATGGTCACAGGACCCTGGAAAAAGCTGAAGGGACTAATTAATTGACACACGTGAACAATAATGTGGTTAAAGATACAAAACAATCCAGACAGAGAGAGATGCCATAAAGAGTGGCTCAGAAAAACATGTGCCCCTTGCAGATGAAGTTTTTTGGTCCTTTCTCAGACACATGGTGCCTGAGCTGTGAAGCTTCTTGACCAGACAACCTCTCATGCAGAACTCTTTTTTTTGCTGAAGCACAGTTCATACCAACAAGAGATTAAAAGGGAGGTGCAGAAGCTTGTAAGGCTAATGGTAGAGAAATGAAAGGGGATATAAAAGCATCATTAATGCAGCTCAGGAAATCCTTCTGGAGAAAAGCACTGACAGAGGCTGCTGTGGCAGGTCCCACCTCAGGGACACTCCTGCCAGGGCAACGGCCAGAGGCACCTGCATGAAACCCAGGCACAGCCAGAGCTGGATGATCACCCTGCCTGGGAAGAGGGGAGAGACCTGGCAGCTACAGAGCCACGAGGGGGCAGGGAGGTGAGGAGGGGCTGGAGAGCAGGCAGGGAGGGCAGGCAGAGTGGCTGTGCTGAGCAGCACAGCTCTGCTCCCAGCCCAGGCTGCACGAGGGGGTGCTGCCAGGGAGCACGTGTCACACCATGGCCATGACAGCAGACCTCAGGTCTCAAAGTGGTCTCTAGGTCCAAGTCCTTGAGAGCACACCCTGCTTCAGAAAGCTGTAAGGCTCCAGTTATTTCTTCTCTGAGGAAGGTTAAGAGCACAGATTCCCATCACAATGCTCTACTACCCTGCTTTACCTTGAAATAAAAACTCCAGGTTCTGTTTGCAGAATCCCAGCGTGGTGGGGACAGAAAGGACCCCTGGAGATCACCTCATCCAACCCCCTGCTCCAGCAGCTCACCCACAGCAGGGTGCCCAGGGTCACAGCCAGGCAGGTTTGGGATCTCTCCAGAGCAGGAGACTCCACAGCCTCTCTGGGCAGCTGCTCCAGGCTCTGCACCCTCACACCAAAGAAGTTTCTCCTCCTGCTCAGGTGGCACCTCCTGGGTTCCAGTTGGTGCCCGTTGCCCCTTGTCCTGTCGCTGGGCACCACTGACCAGAGTCTGGCCCCAGCCTCTTGCCCCCCGGGGCCCTTTAGCTCTTGCTCAGCATTGATCAGATCCCCTCTGAGGCTTCTCTCCCCCAGCTGCACAGCCCCAGGGCTCTCAGTCTTTTCTTGTTCCTGCTCTCACAGTCCACTCAAGACTAAAAAGGTGAAATTTGGGATTGCTTTAAATATAAACTTAAGATCAGAAAAGCTTTCTGAGGGCAGAATTTGTATCAACTACATTAAACACACATGCACAGTTTCTCTATGCATAAAACACACAGATCTGTGATGACAAATTAGATAATTGGTTTCTTCTGCTGAAGGCTGGGGAGGACTTTGCCCACTGCTGACAACAGGTTACATCTCTGCTACTAAAATATAATCCCATTTTTCACCTTCATTTCATGCACCTCACATTAAGGCCCTGGATACTACACTTTCCAGGTCAGCACTCCTCCTATCTCTGCAGCAATCTCCTCACACCACTTCAGAACAAAAAAAAACCTTGCTTGGAGAAGAGGAACCAAATGTGAAGCTTTGAAAGGAAAGCAAACAATAGGAAAGTGAAAACTCTTCAATTCTTGCAGCCCATGGAGCAGTGGAATTGTACAACTACAACAGACAGAGCCTTGCAATGACCTGGGAGTACCTGGTTCACAGCTGCCTGTCCCAGCACCCAACAAGTCACACAGAATAACTTGCTTCTCTATTTACCCACCCATCTTTGTCACTTGACTCTATGCTGGCTGCTTCTGCCCCATCTGTAAACAGGCAATGAAGTCTTTGATAGTGTGAGAGAAGCTCAGCTAATGGGGGGAGGAGTATGAACATCTCTGAGTGAAAAGAAATACCCCCCTGAGAAGTTAAGAAGAGGATGCACCCTGAGGAACAGGCTGAGCAGCAGTCAGCAGGGACACACTGCCAACCTCACTGCAGCAGCTCCACCTGCAGGGTGCTGCCCCTGCTGCCAGCTCACAGCTGAGACAAGGCCTGGTGACATCTGCCCCTCGTGATCCCACAGGAGTTCAAGCATGTTCCTGCTGTCTAACTAGCAGAAGCAGCAGGGCAGGACTACTGACTACAAGAAACAGTACTCCCTCTCAGTCCCTCTGGAGCCCCAGGTCCTACAAGTGTTCCTCCACCACATTCACCACCCATGGTGAAGTTCTCCTGGCTGGTGCTGTCTGCACTCCCTCCTCAGGAACCCTCCAGAAACCAGCTGCTTCAGTCACTCCTCAGAGATTCCCTTGAGTTGGTGACTTACCACCCTGCAGAACCCCCAGTCCCAGTCCCCTGTGTCAAGCCCAGGTACGTTCATGCACTTGGGATGACTGGATGGCCCATGGCAATGGCTTGAGCCACCAAAGCCATCCAGAGCCAACCACAGGGGACAAATGTACACAATCTTCTCAAGGACATAGGAACTTCCAAGAAGCTACTTTTTCCAAAAAGCATTCACAACACTAAATCCCTTCCTGGCACTCATCACTAGTCCTTCCACCCTTTTCCTCACAACCCCTTCCTTCTGCCCACTAGTTGTGTGGCCTCAGCTACCACCTACCTCTGAAATGAATACTTCACTACCACACTAAGTGGCTACATCCTAATCCAAAGTTTTCCTACCAGCTGACTTTGTCTAAGAAATATATATTCACTAGGTCAGTAAAGAAGAAGCTTTGACCAAGCTAACCTTCACCTCAGGGGGGAAAGAACTCTGCTTCCAACTCTGCTTTAATGCATGCATGGAACATCTGCAGGTGAGGGACTGATCACCAGACTACAGAGTAGAGGAGGAGCCACAGCACCTTGTACCCTGCAGTGGTCCTGTCCAGTGCTTTGGGAACACCAGGCAGCCAGGACCTCTGAGATCAGGCCAGGAAGGACCTGGCTTGTGAACTGCAACAGCCATCAGGACTAAAATAAGCACCCAGCAACTCTGCCCTGTGAAGACACCCAGCTCTGGTAACTCCCAGGGAAGCAGAGGGGCTGCTCCAGCCAGGGGCTCTGTCAGGGCTCACGTGTGCAAAGAAATCCATGGAGCTCACAGTGGGATTCCTCTGACCAGGTGTAGGGATTCATGTTAGCAATCAAAAATGCCCAAATCCTCTAGCAGATAACATCCCAAAACAAAGCAGTATCAGGGAACAGTAGTTAACCCTGTCAGAAGAGGGCAGAGAGAGGGATTTCCTTGAGTTTTTCAGAAATCCAGCCTTCCCCCAAACCACACTTCATACTAAAAGCTTTTTGTATCTCTGAGCTACTTGCTCAAAACTCAACATCACTTTGAAAAATCTTAAAATAAAAGACTATTTGTTGTTAAGAGACATGAAGAAGCACGGCCCTTGTTAACAGTGTTCAGGGCAGGATGCACTGTTAAGGTGTGTTAGGCATGAGAATTATCTTTATTACTAATCTTAATTACTTTACACCAGCTTTGTGGTTGCTCAGAGGAATGTTCATCTGAACCAACACTGATCTGAGAGCCAGTTCTTCTTATTCTTCTCTTGAACTAAAAAACCCAAACCAACCAACCGACCAAAACAACCTGTAAGGGAACAAGATGTAACACTCAGGACTCCAGACACTCACTACCTAGCAGGTGAAGACTGCTGGGCCACTCAGCCCCCAAGAGAGCTTGAAGATGTTCCTAATAAGATGCTGAAATGCAGAGATTTCAGGTTCAGTCCTCTGTGCTTTTCCCAGCAGTGCCCTGACACAAACTCACGTGTTTGTTTGACTTAGCCTGGCTGCCATAACCCCGGCAGAACGTGGGGTCTCTCTGGCAAAGAACGACGCCCCCACCTTTAAGGTGACTCTCTGGTCCCTCAGCCCCTGCAGGATGTTGGTCCCACTGCCAAGGAGATCGTCCATGCCACGGTGGGCACTCTGGAGGGACTCGTTAAGCTGCAGAGTTTCGTCGATGGGGATGGTGGTGTCGGGGTCCTGTGGGGAGAGGCAAGGTCTGGTTACAGTCCCCACGCCACCCACAGCCACAGAGCCCACGGGGCTGGGGGGACTGGCTTGGAAACTTGGCTTTTTTTTTTCCATAGATATCAAATACAACGTTCATGGAGTGGGAAGAGGAATGGAGAGAAGCCTGCAGGAAGCAAGGCCACAGGCAAAGCTGATCAGCTGCCGACTGCAATTAGATCGTGAAGGATAAAAAGTGGGGTTAGAAGTGGAGAATTTCTTATAACTCCTGTTTATGGCATGCACAGAAAAGGGTATCACAAGAGAGAACATTCAACAGAAGGTGTTTAACAAGGAGTCATTGGATCAGTGCAAATGAAAAGAGTTCTGAAAAATGTAATATCCCATTTCTAAGCAACAAAAGGCTGCACAGTGTCTGGGAAATGACATTTCAAATTTATGTCATTTCCCAGACACTGTGCAGCCTTTAAACTGTAAATTTACAACATGGTGCAGATTTCTGACAGAGCAAACAGAGAGGAGCCCAGTCCCTGGAGGTCTGACTCAGCCAACACCCAAGGCCTTACCTAAAAATAAAAAAAATATATTTTTTTCCTTGAAATTATGAATTACTATAGACTATGACTCTTGACATGGAAATAACTGGATAAAATTCAGTCATTGCACAAGAGGGCAGAGGATGTGATGGCTTTTGTCCTTCAAAGGCCTCCAGTTCAACCCTCTCTGGACACCCTTCCATCCAGAAGCACCGAAACTGCTCATTGCTGCCACCCTGAGCAGGAATCGTGGTGCCAGGAAGAGGCAAGGGTGGGAACAGTGGGTGACCTGCTCCCACATACCCAGAACAAGAACCACCAGGATGCAGAATTCCTAGTTAGGGCAGAGAGTGGCTAATCCCTGCCCCCAGCTGTCAGCTGTTGGTTACACGGGTGTGACAGCACCAAGCTGGCTCTGAGCAGACTCTGGTCATTACTGGGGAAAAAGGATGTTAGGACAGGAGTGACAGGAATGACCCAGTGCCAGAAGCTGCTGTGCCCAGGCAGGTTTCTGCTCACTGCAGGAGCAGAGAGCACAGGGCAGAGCTGTGAGCAGCTGCAGGGTCAGTTACCACACCAAGAAGCTGTGACAGCATCAGCAGCTCTCATCAAATGCTACCGAAGCTCCGAGGCTGAAACAAGTGTCTTGTCTTACAAGAGCCTGCAGAGCAGAAGCCCTTGGATTTGCTTCTGAGTGGCTGTTAGTTCAGACATTGATTAAACTTCAAATCAGCAGAGATTCCACTTCCCATACGAGCAGCTTGGAGGGTTTTTTATACACCACAAGGCAGCAAGTAAAACACCCAAGCAGATTTTCGACCCTCCTCACAGGGAGAGTAGATGGCACCATGCCCTTCATTTGCTGTTAGTGGTTTTCTCCAGAAGGGTAAAAGGAAGACTTTGAAGATAAAGAATATGTTTATCTTCAAGTTAAGAAAAATTCAGCACGCTGCTAAAGCTTCCAAAAGCTGCTATGTATGTCACAGTGAATTAGCCAGGATGCTGCACACTCAGCTGACATTTCTGCTTAATAAAAATGGGCAGTATATAAATAGAAACTGTGTAAACTTCAAAACAGACTGCCCAAGAGCTGACAAATAAATGAGCATTTTCCTGTTGTCCCTGCTCACTGCAGGGGGTTGGACTAGATGACCTTGAAAGGTCCCTTTCAACCCAAAACATGCCATGATTCTGCTAAAGGGTCATTTGACTTTAAAAGACACATTCCTGTAGCAAAAGAAGATAATCATGTTGGGCTTTTTTTCATATTGAGACACCTTTCAACATCTAAGGGAGAAAAAAAAAACAGTTTGCCATTTCTTTTGCATTTGCAGGCCTGCTACTGCTCTTAAATCTGTTCCACTTACATGAGGTTTATTTCTGGACAAGTTTTCCTATAGGAAAATTCCTCCATGTTTGCAGAGGACACCACAGTGTTTTCAAAACAAGTCAGGTTGTGAATGTCAGCATTGCATTCAGAATGTTTATAATTCTGAAATCACCAACAAAACACTAGATGTCATCTTCAGGTCAGGCTTTGAGAAGTGAACTGAACTTCCTAAATCTCAAAAAAAATAGGACTGCTCACACTCATTCTTCCTTGTCCTAGCAGTGAATGACCACACAGATGAAGGTTCAGTTGTATGTCTTTAACCAAAACAACAAATTAAAAATAAAAATAAGTTTAAAAGAAAAGAAAACAAAACAAAAGGCTAACTTTTGAGTTACAAACCAGTGAAATCTGAGAGCAGGCCTTGGTTACTCAGAGCAAAACTCCTCTAGGAATTTACACTTGGGAGACTTCCCAAGGGAGGAACCAAGAATTAACCAGAGCAGGTGGAAACATGTTCCTGTTATTAAAAACCAGAATCATTTCTAGGTAAAAAGCACAGGGGGTTTCACCAGCTGTGTGGTTTCTATTTGGACAAACTGAGGCTTGCTGACACCTACTGACAGCAGGCTGTATAAAAGGGTGTATAAAAGCCAGGCATTTTACAAACCTCAGGGCTTTTGGCACAAATCCAGGACCTACCTCATTCACCCTTTTGAAACTGCTGCATCAAGTCAGGTAGATAAAACAGGAGAGAAGCAGAGCAGCAGTTGCTGGAGTCTTTTCCTCCTGTCTCTTGAGGGCCCAGCTTTCCCCACGAGAGAGCTTTGCTTTTGCAACACTTACTGTTGCTATTCTTGTCTGCCTTTACCCCGCTGACATCTCACAGCAGCAGCCTGACAGAGTCACACCCCTGTGCTGCCTGAGCCCCCTCTGAAGGGCTGTGGCTGGCACCCAGGGCACTGCAGGAGGGCACTCACGTTGGCAGTGAAGGTCCGTGCCAGCAGCTCCTCCCGCTGCCGCTCCTGCTGCTCCCGCACGTAGCGGCGGTGCTGGAAGTTCCTCAGGGCTGTCTGCAGGTGCTGCACATCATACTTCAGCTGGTCCACTCGCCTGGAAAGGATTGACAGCAGGGAGACATTCCCAGGGGTAAAATACCACTTTTTTCTGGTGTCATTGCATGAACAAGAGAGGGTTATAAATTCACAGTGACAAATACTAAAGAATGATGGGTTCTGCTGATCTAGAAGACAAAGGACATCCAAGCTTAGGCCCATATTCCAGACTTAGATCTTCTGTGCCTTGTTTTTCTACTCAACAGGTGATTATTAAACTCACAATAGAATTCTTGACCTGTCTTGGACATCCCACCCCATCACCAGTCTCTTTGGGAGGTACACAGAGTCTCATCTCACACAGACTGGGAAAGGTGGCAGGGTCTGAACAGCTTCTGTTTCTTCACACACACATAAGAGATTAAGCTTTCAAGTTGCATTAATTAGCACCATGTTCTTAAGTTTGAGTTTCTATTAAAAGGAGTTTAAATGTCAGTGGGCAATACAAGAGACATCTCCATTAGGCCAAGTCAAATAACACCCAGAGCTCCACTGCCTCTGCTTAAATGTTTGATGACAAAGAAAACTTCAGTGACTATTTCAGACACTGGCCTCTCTGAAAGCTACCCCTAGGATCTACAAAGGCATTTTGAGATTAAATGTTAATAGTAGAGTTACAGAATAAATTGGAACAGGAGTCCTGATGTCCCCAGTCCAACCTCTTGCTCAAACAAGTGCTAATTTTAGAAATCTCTTTATTTTATCCACCAACAGCTAGGAAAGTGGTCCAGAGAAAATGCCACCAGCTGAAGTAATTTCACTCTGTACCTCCCCAAATGCCACTAAATCCAAATGCCATCTAGAGTAGAAAATTCTTTTTTTAGCCTTTAAGTGCCTTGTTCTGCTCCTCTCTGAGCAGAGCCAGGCATCCAGCTCCATCACCAGGAATGTGATTTTGCTTCTGTGCCTCGATTTCGCTACCGCAGAACACAGAGAGAAGTTACACAAAGTATAAAGTTTTCACTCAAATCAAAAGCCTTCAACAATTTTAATGAAAACAAGGACAAAGAGGAGTATCCAAGTGCAGGTGGTGAGCTTACAGTTTGGCATTCTGCCTCTTGTTGGGTGGTTCTTTGCTGGACAGGATCTCCAGGCGCTCCAGGCTGCTGAAGATGTTGTCTATTCTTGCCTGGATCTCATTTTCTACTACTGCAAGGAAAGGAAAATATCATTTGCATTCAAAGCATTACTCAAAACCTGACAGATGCAAATCCTCACTGGATGGAAAACAAAAAAACCCCAAAGAGGTAACCAAGGATTATATTTATCATGAAAAGCCACTCAGCAGGTTTGGAGATGGCACGTCTGGGGGATGGAATCCAGCCAGATGGACCTTGACAAGCTGGAGAGGTGGGCCCCATGCCAACCTCATGAAGGTCAACAAGACCCAAGTGCAAGGTCCTGCACCTGGGTCAGGACAATCCCGAGCACAGACACAGGCTGGGTGGAGAATGGCCTGAGGGCAGCCCTGGGGAGAAGGACCTGGTCCTGCTGGTGGATGAGAAGCTCAACGTGAGCCAGCGATGTGTGAGTGCACCCAGGAGGCCAAGGGCATCCTGAGCAGTGCCAGAAGCATGGCCAGCAAGATGAGGGAGGGGATCCTGCCCCTCTGCCAGCTCTGGGAGACCCCCCTGCAGTGCTGGGGCAGCTCTGGAGGCCTCAGCACAGCAGAGCCAGGGACCTGCTGGAGCGGGGCCAGAGGAGCCCCAGCAATG